ATTATAGTAAAGTTCTAAAAAAGCAAAACGAAAATGCTGCAAGGATCTGATCTCGCGAGGTTCTACCTATGAAGCGAGACTACTAGCATTGTCTCTTCGCCACGCTAATACGTTGAACAGACAAAATATAAGGTGGGCGCTCCTATTGGGTCGGCCCATAAGTAATGGCGTTTTTTCTCACTCGAAATATCGCGCTAAAGATGAAAAGTTTGCCATTGAGTTTTATATTGTTTGCAGAGAATTCCTTGCCCTATACGGCTGTCCCCTTGGTAATCTTGCGGATTCTCTACCCACTAATATTCAAGTGCTCAAACTGGAGTGTCAGCTCGACCAAATTGCATTTTTGACAGCCTCTCTTTCTCACCTTTAACTGAAAAACTAGGACCGCACAGGCCCAGTTGTTATGCATATGATCAGGAAGCTATGTCTCTTAGAAATGCTTACAAGTGGTTAGGTTACTTGAAGATTCCCATTTCGACCTCTCAGACAAGAATCTGATCCAATGCCCCATTGAGTCCAACTGAGAGCTTACCGATTACCTTATTTACGGAGATTCGTGTCGAAGATTGAGTGACCGTCAGAGGTCATGGAATGCTCCTCATCCTTATCAAGCATCATCCTTAGTTGATTTCAGACGTTCAGACGTTAGGCGCTATGTTCTGCAGGCAGTCGCTCTTCAAAAGGGCGCTCATGTAATGCACATTTACAAAGTACCAATCCATCTCTCGATCGCTTGAGCCAACTTTAAGCTGTCATAAGGAGCACCTTTCATTGGTCATATATGCCACAGGTTTTGAGCTCCTTCTGTAATCTGAGAACCAAGATAGAGGGCAAAATTTTTTGTCGAAAACTCATTTCTGGGTCGAATCGACATTCCCTTTCAATGATATATGAAAATGAAATAAATCGACAGGAAACAAGAAATAATAAGAAGGCAATCCAATGTCTATAGAGCAGAAAATTATCTATCAAACAGTGTAGAACATATTGGGAACAATTGTCATTTTCCATATAAAAATCTGTGTCAGAAAAAAACGCCATTACTTATGGACCAACCCACTATGTGACACCATGTGAGACAACACGGGGGAAACACTTCATTACTGCGCTCAGGGAACTGTTTTGCGGACTTTGAAAGCAGATTCGAGACCAGCGTCAGAAAGCGCCCCTAAAGATATGGATTTCACCAGAAACATCATTTCGACCAGGAATCCATAGTTAGTTAGATAGCAAGCATTATAGATCTCCGCTTCTACGGAAGAACAAACAAGCAAGACCATATCCAGCTACGAACCCAGAGAGGCAAGATACTGCTGATTCTCACGTACCGAAGTCCTTCATGTTCTGATTTCATTGACTTCCTTCATAACGTCTGCACTGAGAGTAGCGACCAAATCATAATAACGGGTGACTTTAACTTTCCCCTTATTGACTGGGTCAACATGACTCACAGAGGAAACGCATCGACACAATCTTCTACCTCGTTTCTCGAATTTGCAAAATCGTTTGATTTGAGTCAAATTGTAAGGGAGCCTACTCATGGGCTTAACGTTTTAGACATTATACTGGTCTCCCGTCCTAGCCCCGTCACATGGCATCGTGTCTCACCTCCTTTCAGCACTGCTGATCACAACTCTATCGAATTTGAAATATCACGTGGTGACCCACTTTTTTCGGAAAAGCGCAGATGGTATCG